TTCCAGGTTTTCAATGGTGTTCTAACATCAATCGGTTCATGATCTCAGTCAAAAACTTAACAATCTCCACAACCACTATACTGATAAATGAATATTTATTATGCTTCAAAATAAATCTAAAATTTATATCAAATTACTTCGGAGTTATATATATATATATATATATATATATATATAAATTTAACTCCGCCTGGAGCCCTCCTGCGACTACTTCCTGTCCCAATCCCGGATAAAGGAGGAGAGTTGAGCATTGGGTTATCGACCCGATCACGTAGAAAACTAACTCGCTAAAAAAACACTAACCAGAAAAAATTATTCAAACCATTAAAACTCTACCCTAGAAGTTAGGTCTTTATTTAGAAGAGTTATGAAAGCTTAGTTCCCTCGGAAGTCACGAGGCTGATGCTTCTTCTGAAAATCAGAGCAACCATTAATTTAGGTACATGGAATGTTAGCACAATGTAGGAGAACGGGAGAGTCTTTCAAATTGTTGCAGATATATAATTTACCTATCTGATCAATAGTCAAATTTAACTATACTGTAACTGACACCACTCGTTATTAGGTGATCAATAGCTTAAAGTATATATGTAATTTAAAATTTCAAGAAATTAAACTACTTCAGCTGATAAATATAACTAAATTAGAGTAATTTATCTGATTCTTTTTAAAAGCAAACATTATCATTATCGTTAGTTCCTTTCCAGTTAAGTGACTAAACATGGATACTTTTTCCTAACCTACAATATTTCATTGTACAAAATTATCAGTGTAAATATCTATATAGTGTCTTCTTTAATCACCTTAAACACCAGTTAGGTAATATGTTGAGTTTTTCATTATTCTTATAATGAATGAAATGATTATTTAGTATTCAGATAACTTTGATAGATGACTGTCAACTCTTCAAGATGGACACGGACGTTACTTGACAATAAGTATTGTTTGTCTGTACAAATCAGAACAGTTGCATAAATCCCTGACTAAACGGATTTCAAATGAAAATGATGACTGGAAAATCTAATCAAAGACAGTAAAGAAAAGTTCAAGGTGAACAGGACTAAATGATAATCCATGAACAAATTTCATATCGAAATGTTAACGTTAAACAGATCAAATAGGTAAGTTGACTTAAATTGAGAACTGGGATTCGAAAGAGTAAACATTTATTTTTCATTCACCTTGGATATTATTATCAGGGTCCCAGAGTTGTGAGATTGTACGATTCTATGCTTAATACTATATATAAATATACATATATTCTTGGTTGCGATCTGTTGTAAGATAACTTGTTCATACCTCTGATCGATTTCGTGCTACATGAAACAACTTTCCAGTACTTCCTAGTTTCTTATAAATTTCTGTAGGTGATATCACCCGCAAATCGATGTTTCTGCATGAATTTCCTATACTACTAATTATTATGTATTTTAACCCAACAATATTCACTAAAGTAGTATATTTTTTAGATTTCATTATTCACTATGTGTTACGATCAACATTAATTTGCTACTGTTTACAATAATATCTGGTTATATAACAGAGATATAACTGCCAGTGATACCACTTCCTCTCATTGAAGTGATCCATCCATGAAGTGGTTCTCTTTTATTCAAAATACTGAATTCAACAAATCGATAATCACAACGATAGAAAGAAAATCGTTTAAATTATTTGTATTTGAAAATTATCCCTCCTAAGTTTTTGTCTTCGTAATACAATGACGTCTTAACTTAATGTAATTTAAATTCATCTACTCGTGAACTTCGAGTTGCTTTCTCAGTGTGTCAAATAAATATCATCTGCTCACTAGTGACTGACTTCAAGAGATACTCCTGGAGTTCTAGTGAGAAGCCGTTACCAGTGGAGTTCAACCAGGTCAGTTGTGAGATATCAGCTCACTGAAGACAATCGTGTACGGTGGCGCAACTTCGTGGATTGATTGAAGTTAGACATTAACACCATTGGATGCCGGCTCAGTGGTCTAGTTGGTTAAGCACTTGGCGCGAGACTGGTAGGTCCTGAGTGCGGTATCGTGGATGCGCACTGCTGAGGAGTCCCATACTAGGACGAAGCGGCCGTCCAGTGCTTCCAGGTTTTCCATGGTGGTCTAGCTTCAATTGACTCATGATTTAAATCTGTGAAATAATTATTTGTAAACATTTTCTTCTTCTAAAATATGATTTGTTTCTAAAGTAATCTTTGAATAATAATATGAAAATACATGGAGTTACATTTGATTACATAACTAATTTAATCCGGATGATATTATTTATTAAGGGTAGTAGTGATCTATTTCGTGTATATACGGTTTGATACAGAAATCCGATAGTAATATTTTTTTTAATGAAGCACGTAAACGACGAATGACACACTCATATTCGACCATTCAACATCGTTATGATTCACTTAAAGATGTCATTATTGATTAATGACTTCCGTTTATAAACATACGTTTTTTTTAGTAAAGAGAATAAAACAAAGAAGAAATGGATGTTTTGATTATATCTTGTCATGAAGTATTAAGTTTTCTCAAAATACAACAGATTTAAAATCATTCATGTTCTCACCTACATTAAAGTGATTTTCTAAATCATAAAATCTTGTTACCAAAGTAAGTAATCAGATAAGTGAATAATCTTTATATTTCTATATAGGATTTTGAATCACTATTCATAATAGATGATAATTTTTGAAAAACCAGAAAGACCTTGTTTTGATTACCTAAATGGTACATGGTCGTGCACTGTTGGGGTTTATGATGCGATCTTTTTAATTTTTCTATAAACTTATAAATTGATCAGACACTTATAAGTACGAGTGTACGACGTAAGTAAATGATTTCGTCTAAAAGGAGATTTTCTTTACTGAATTCTCTTTATTTTTATTCCATGAAGTTACAGACAACTTCTATGGTTATCATAACTATAAGTATCAGTAAGCAGAGATGGATAGTGGCTATCAGTGGAAACCAGAAAACGCGTTTTGTCCTATTTAGGACTTGTCATCTGGATGTACCTACATCTCAAACAATATTAAGACAATCCATATAGGATGCATATATATCAATACGTGACTGATCAATTGTAGGCTTAAACATCAAACGAAAGACTCAACTAACCAAAACAAAAAATGAATCATAAGTATTAATCATTAATATTTTTATCAATGTAAAGAAATTGGTCATATAGACATACAATACAGATCTTCCAACATTTCTAAGGAATAATTATGAAAGTCTCATTACTCGAATAGCTTGAGTTTACATTCATCTTTTATAATTAATCGAGTAAAAGAAATTTTTTTACTGACATCAAAAACTTTGTTATACAAGGAAAAATTAATTAGACGATAAACAATAAATTTGAATGGTAAAATTATTGTAAATTTCTATCACCTATAATGCACGATATGACAAAGCCAAATACGTGGAGGGTTTTTTTTTTTAAGTAACTACAATTATTATAAGAGGGGGTTTTGTGGAGATTGTAGTAATTTCAAAAGTTGATATCATGAATCAGTTGAACCTAGACCACCACGGAAAACCTATTGTAGATCCATTTATAGTGCAAGAGCAATGAATTTGACCCTATGGTTGATTATCTATTTCTTAGATTTCTTAGTTTGGCTTCAAGAAGTATTTCCTGGAGTTCTAGTGAGAAGTGGTGACCAGTGGAGTTCAACCAGGTCTATTGTGAGATAGTAACTGACTGATGACAATGGTGGATATGTCGCCCGATTTCGTGGGTTGTTTGAAGTTAGACATTAACACCGTTGGATGCCGACCGGCTCAGTGGTCTGGTGGTTAAGCGCTCGTGCATGAGACAGATAGGTCCTGGGTTCGAATTTCGCGATCATGAATGCGCACTACTGAAGAGTCCTAAAATGAGGCGAAACAGCCGTCCAGTGCTTCCTGGTTTTCCATGGTTGTGCAGCTTCAATTGACTCATGATCTCCACTATTGAAATAACTGCAATTATACACATATTCTAAACTGAAAGAACATTTACCAAGTTAGACACAGAGTTGACTAATATTAACAAAAATTTCCTAAAATATTCGCTTTCGAAAGTTTGATTATTGATTCGCTTAATTTATTTTTCTGGGTAACATAGTTTACTATTACCTCTCATACTGACATAAAAATTTAGTAAGCTCAGATACTGAGCTTATAATAATTTTTTTGCTATTGTAATATGAAATAGAATTCAAAACGTCTATTCAATTCTATCTGAATTTCATTACTTGGATTAGTCTGTAATTCAATGTTGTTGTGTTCACCTATAAACTTAGTACTTCATGAATAGGTTAGTAATCAGTTATCATTGGTTTGACTTTTCAAGTTGCTTTATAAGATTAAATTAATTTGCTCTTATACTCTTAGAAAAAGTATCATTTTGATATCTAAATAGCAGTGGTCATATGAATTGAAGATGATAAATCTTGAGTTCAATCTACCTATATTTATGGTAGATACTTGTTGAATATCATATTTATTAATATAGTTTAAAAACAATACGTATCTCTTAAATAAACTTTAATTTCATTGGTCGGTCTTTTTCCTTAAAATAACTAGGAAAATGATCGAATTTATACAACAACCAATAAAAAAGCAAAGATCGGTGAGAAATTAATATTCTCTTCTTACTTTCCCATTCTTCAAACAATTTAATACCTTCTTTAATATTCTAAACTAGTGTGTTCTTGGAAATATAAAAACCCCTTTCAATTGATGAATAAATATTACTTGACAACGATTGGTTAAAAGGATAACAATTTATTATGAAGTATGTTTTGGGAAAATATCAACCTAAAATATGAAGTGTATACTATTAATCAGTAAGAGAGGAGTCAATTGGTTTAGGGTGGGGTTACGGTAGGAAACAGTAATCACTTCAAATATTATAATATAAGATTAAAATTGACCTAATCAGTTAGACATAATATTTAAGTGTAATCATCTATTTATTTAACAAACCATTTTAAACATTTATTATAATATGAATGGAAAAAGTCCACATTTTCTTGTTAGTCGACTGTTAGAAGATACTAAAATATTTGATAATGGAACATCATCATCTAAAAACCAATTTAATAATAGTTTGGATGATGTTGACAATAATACTGATGATGAACGGACAAACATGGATGAATTAGTTCATCAAAGTAAGTTTCTTCTTTTTTTTTTAAAAAAAAAGCTATAACTTGGAGTTGGAGTTCATTTAGCATGAATTTAAAATTGACTTGAGTTTTTTTTCTAACATAATCAGTGTTTAATTAGTGTGTTTTATCTAGAACTTTTGACTAATTCTTCATTCATTTATTGAAAGTTAAGTGCATGTTAGCGTGTAATAGTCATTAAAAATTCCATTTTAAACCGTAACTTACACTACACTACCGTCTTTCATCCTACATTTTTTACTGCGTCACATTTACTTGTTTATAACATAAAAAAATAGATACATTTTAATGTCTAAATGAAATCTTTAGCATATAACTAATATATTATTATTCTCCAATAAATTACCCAATAAACATAAGAATGATCAAAACTACTTGATATTTCACACTCTTTGAATGTTGGAAATGTTGCTCAGTCAGTATAATACGATTCACTGATTCCGAATTATACTATGAAGTTTGTAACATAAGCTTTCACTTCGTAAACAATTCTTAATGTAAGTTACTAAAGAATAACTAAATCTATATCCATCAATTTCTAATGGATATTTATTAGATTAATACTGTTGAATAATAAGGTATTTGAATACAAAATATCAATAAATATCAGGCACTCTCGATATTTTATACAAATCTATTAGGATTAGTCAGTGAAAATGAGAGTTGAATAGCTAATGGTAAAGGAGAATAAAGTGAAATATTTATTCTCAGTATAGAGTTTTGGAGATTATTAAGTTTCTTTATTGAGATCATGATCATAGTCTCCACTAGTGACTAGCTTCCTGAGGAAATTCGCGGAGTTCTAGTGAGAATTTGTGACCAATGGAGCTAATCCGTGTCGGGTAGAGACAGGTATCTACCTCAGTAGAATGGAAGATGGTCGCGCAATTTCGTGTATCGGTTGAGGCTAGACATCAACACTGTTGGATGCCGGTCAGCTCAGTGGTCTAGAGGTTAAGCGTTCACGCGCAAGGCTGATGGCCCTATGTTCGAATTATGCGAAAGGGATAGTGGGTGCACACCGCTGAGTCCCACAATAGGACGAAACGGCCGTCCAGTACTTCCAAGTTTTCAATGGTGGTCTAACATCAATCTATTCATGATATCAATCAAAAAAAAATTTCTTAGTGAACAGTGATTAGCAAGTTTTCTAATATTAATTTATATTCATTAATGGTTTATATTTTAATAAATTATGTAAGAAGAAATTAGTTTTAAAGGTAAATCAAAACAGTATCCCGTTGTAAAGATTCATTAATTGATTCTTTTCGACACTTCAATATATTCGGTAGAATAAGTGTCATTTAATAATCTTTTTCTATCGACTGTTAATAAGATTTTAACAATAATTTTAACTGATAATCAATCCATTGATATACGGGAACTAATGACAATGGATACAGATTATTGGCCTAGAAGATAATATAAACTGAAATCAAACATCATATATTTTCATATTCAACAATTGAATAATGACTACGAAAATTAAGATAATTGTTTAGCTTAATTTACTAAAGATCAAAGACAACTGATCGAAATATTGATGTAACTATGATCCATGTTGATATTTAATCAATGTAATGTGGTTTTAATCATTGTTATCCACTAAACTTAATAGCAAATTGTTTTATTATTGAGTTACCAGTAATGCATTATATATTTAGTTGAAAAATAGCATTTTCTAAGCAGTTCTGATCTGGTTTTAACATTATTACTGAATTAGTTATTTCGCTGGTTGAAATCATGAGTCAATTGAACCTAGACCACCACGGAAAACCTGGAAAAGATTCGGACCCATGACCTATCAGTCTTGCACCAGGCGCTTAACCAACTAGACCACTGAGCTGGCACCCAACGAGGGGGATCGTGGATGAGCACTGCTGAGGAGTACCGTACTAGGACGAAACAGCAGTTTAATGCTCCCAGGTTTTCCATGGTGGTCTAGCTTCAATGGACTCATGATTTTAATCAATGAAATTTCTAAAAATCTCCACAAAACCCATTCTAAATTACTTATATTGTAACCAAATAACTGTTTAACTTCACTTCATTGTGTTGATGATGGATGTTCTGTATAAATCAAAGATAAATTACCTATCCTGTTGAGTTCTCATATAATTAATCCCCCCCCCGAAAACCCAGTTGATTTACTGAAGAAAAGATTATTAATCAATGGTACAAACTATGCCATGAACACTTTATTTTTAATTACATTCTAAATGAAGGCGGTAAAAATGTTGACAATTAGATAGGCAATTGAATGAACTAAAAATTCGTATCATTTATGTTAAGGATAAATTGTTACATCTAGTATCTAAGTGATTTCAATATTTCATTTTAACCTGTGGATAATAAATGTGAACTTCATCCCTTAAATATTTTCAGGAATTATTTAAGAATACTAAGCTTCTATTTGATTTGTTTATCTAGAATTGTACTAAATTGGTTTCATTTATAAGGCTTCATTTAGATATATTTACATGACGTTTCTCTCAAAAGTTATTAAAAACTGAAATAAATGTTTTTAAGTCAAACCAAGTATATAGCAACGTATTCTATTACGATAACATAATAATGAATGTTATTAATATGATTAAAAAATTTATACGTACACTCTGTCGTTCCTTCTTGCTTTACTCATTCTCATAACAGTTTAACTTTTTATTATCAGTACAGAGTTGTGGAATCTGTTAAGTTTTAATTGAAACCGAAGGTCCTGAATTCGAGTTCCACATGCGAAATCGTGAATGTGCATTACTGAGAAGTTCCATACTAGGACGAAACAGTCATCCACTGATTTCAGGTTTTCTATGACAGTCTAACATTGATCGGTTCATAACTTCAATTAATACCTTCTAATTATTCATAATTTACATCATAAATGGAATGATAGCTCCCATTTACCTTTGTTTAATTTTAACATTGTAATGTTAATAAAAGAAAGTACTCCCACATATAGTAATTTATGGGTTTATGTATCCATTAAAAAAATATATTTCTCTATATCAGTAAGATTACTTATTGATAGTCATTTCGTTTTTGTAGAAATACACAGGGAACTTAAAAAGATTATCAGTTAATCATGAGCTATTCATTATGTTGAAATTCAATATTTTCAGATGATAAGTTATGATCTACTTGACATGAATGATTTAAGTACATGATAAATTATTACACCAAGTTTTACTACGTAATGTAATAATAAGAATTAAACACGTCAAGAAAGTATCTGTTTTTTTGTTCCTAGAATGTTTTATGAAATCAAGTGTACTTGACGAATCAAATAGCAATTGATTGTTTTATTTATTTGGTAAATAAGAAAATAGAAGTAAACGGTATACTGAAATAAGGTAGTTAGTTAGTGATCATATTAAATCAGTAATATAAGTTTTACGAATTTTCTAATATTTACTAAACTTTTTTAAAATATCAGTTAAGAACTTCGCTTATTATTAGATTATTAGGAAATAGCTTTATGAAGATGGATTCAATTTATAGATCATGTTCATCACAGACGGATCACAGTTAGTGAGATTCAAATATGTCAGATGTGACAAAGTTGTCATTAACAGAACTGAACTATTGATATACCATGTCGCGGATTGGTTAAAGTTGGAATCGTACCACTAGTTCCCAGTTCAGTCATTTCTAATGATTACGTATTCATTGAGGAACCTGTAGGTCCTGAGTTCAATTCCTAGAAGGATCAAAAGTGGGGATCAACAAGGAGTCTAATCCCAGCATAAAATATTTGTCTAGTGTTCGGTAGTTTTCACTGGTAACCTAACTCTAATCATTTTGCGACGAATGCAACTTAAAATCCAATATGATATTTAATTTGATAAGTTTTAGGAATTCACTGAATCATAAAAGATTGAACTGTAGCTTGTAGAAATCTGTTTATAGATAAAAATCAATCTAAACTTTCATTTGACTAACTTAATAATCAGCCTTTTTTTCGTTGATTTCTACTAAGAATTAAGTTTTGACGTGATGAATATCACCCTCAAAATAGACACAGAATATGTTCATCATCATGATATTCACTAGGATCTGATGATTTAATTAATGAACAAAGATGAATTTGAAATAATACTATCATCCAGGAATTTATAATAAGTCAGTAAGGTTTACTAACTTACTTACGCCTGTTAGTCCTCATGGAGGAGTGTAGGCCGCTCACTAGCATTCTCCATTCTACCCTGTCTTGGACAGTCCTTTCCAGCTCTTTTCAGTTGTTATTCATCTTTTTCATATTCTTTGACCTTCCTCTTTTCCGCTCCCCATCATGATTCCAAGTTAAGGCTTGCCTCGTGATGTAGTTTGGTGATTTCCGTAATGTATATCAAAATCTGTAAGATTAGGTTTTTTTAAAATGAACTTTTATAAGGTTAATATCAGGTGGGTTTTGTGGATATTATAGTGATTTCAGTGGTTAAAATCATGGGTCAGTTGAAGCTACACAACTATGGAAAACCTGAATGATCTGGACGGTCGTTTCATCCTACTGTAGGACTCCTCAGCAGTGCGCATCCACGATACCGCCTCGCGAGATTCCAACCCAGGACCTACTGGTTTCGTGCGCGAGCACATAACCACCAGACCACTGAGGCGGTCGACATCTAATGGTGTTAATGTCTAACTTCAAACAATCCACGAAATTGAGCGACACATCCACCAATGTCTTCAGTGAGTTACTATCTCACAACAGACCTGGTTGAACTCCACTGGTCACTACTTCTCATTAGGACTCCAGGATATACCTCGTGAAGCCAGTCACTAGTGAGCATGTTGCTAAATCACATGTAATTAACAATTCACATTGATGTAATATTCATTCTTAACTTTTATTATTAACTAACTAATATAATATTAATCTTCTTAGTTCAATCTTTAACATACGATTAATAGAAGAAGCTGTTGAAATTCATTGACAACTATATCAACCATATTGAAATGAAATCAATGAAGTTTATCTCTTTAAC